TGGGATCGTCGGTTCGAATCCTACTGAAAGAAGTCTGATGAGGAAATGTGGTGATTTCCGAAATAGCTATCACTTCTACCATTTTTCAAATTGTTGTTGCTTTTCCACAATAAATTTTTCATTTAAAAATGGCCTCGAGCTCATTAAAAAATTGTTGAATATAATTGTTAAATGGCCAAAAAATAACAAAAAACAAATGATTTTTTCTTAAGTTAAAAATGAGGGACGGTTTTTTTTTCAAATTCAGCCTTATCATGAGTTTCATTTTCCCTGCACCGGTTCGCTTTTCACACTACATGGAGTATTTACTATGGGCGGAGTACAAATTTTCGGGTGAAGTTTTTTTCGGGCGAAACTCAGGAAACAGCAGATTGTCTTTTTTCAAATAACTGTAGAACCGGCTTTCGAAAAAAGCAAATAATCGAACAACCAACCTTTAAGTCTCCATAAAATTTGGATGTTTTCTCGAAGCTGTAAATATGTCAAGGACACTCACATCATCACATGGCACCACAGGTTTTAACAAAAAAGGCCAAAACAGTCATAACCCTTATACACGTTGTATGTAGCAGGTACATACGTACATTGCGTAAATTTATAGGGAATGCAAGGTCAAGCATTTGTATGGCGGAAAACCAATCAGTGATGGGCATAGTGGGCCACATTGACCTTTTGCGATTCAAAAAGTGATTTTGGCATGCAAAAGCCGACAACAAAAACGCAATAAGACAAAATCGCAGAATTCAGCAATAACAAACTGCACAAAAACAAAACAAAAAACATGAATGCAACGAATTCGATTTATTTGCGTCCAGATTCCATGAACTGATAGAATTCGTTTGCCGGATGATACAAATAGCCCAGTTTTCAATGATGTCGTCCAAAATATTTACCATGCAGTAGGAACAACAAAAATAAATCTAAGATAGAATAGCTTCAACAGCTATGTCGACCACAGCCGCCATTGAGGGCACGCAACATCGACGTCAGCTTTGCATTTAGCTCTGAACCAACAAATTTTTTTCAGTCGGCCAAACCTTTTTGTATGAGGTCTTTTTTTTTTTTTTTTTTTGCAAATTGCTACCAAAGAGCCAACACGTGCGACATACTACACACTAGTAAGCTTCGTTATCAACATTTTGACGTTGGCGCTGCTCTGGTCGCGCGAGATTGTTACGCGTTGATAGAAAAAAATTGCAATGTCAGAGTAGAAATTGCAATTCACCTTTATTTGCCAAGGTACTTTGGAAGTACTTACATACGAATACAACACACATTTATGATGTACATAGTATGTATAATCTGTACATGATGTAAGAGAAATCGTATACTGGCCTTAAAATAAGATTAAAAGGAAGTATTAAAACATAAAAATTACCTTTTACAGAGCATCTACATACATACATATTATTGTATATGTATTATAATAGCCCATTTATCGGCGTCCGCAAAAGTTCATTAACCTTTTTTTGCTGGCACATACGAAAAGAGTCCTTGCAAAGAATGTTGTTTTATTTTAACATGTTCATGGAACACATTAAGATATGACTTTTTTAACACTTTCTAAGTCGGAATAAAAATTCCCGTACGTACTTACCTACTGTGAAGGCAGCCGTCCACAGTGGTTGTTGTACTATTGCTAGACACGAAATCCTAGAAGACGCGAACCAAGAAAGCGTGGTAAGTGTGAGAGGAGGCTCGTCTACGCTCTCCGTAGAATTGGAGGATGCTTTTACTAAACGGGGAGGGTGACCGAGGACGAGGCCAAGGCAGGAAGAGTTGAAGGCTAAGGCACTATACGCCGCTGCTGTTAAGAGCAGCGACGAACATGTCAACCAGGTCAAGCGGACTGAGGAGGAGGAGAAAAGGTTGGCTTGAGTTAATCAAGAAGTAGAGAATGGCAAAGTTTACTATGCAGCGAGACCACAATTCTTAGCTAAAGATCCAAAGTTCGCAAACTTGAACGAAGGACATATTGTGGCGGCGGTTTGTTAAAGAAGCAGAAATGTAGAGACGAGGCTAGAAAGCCAAATGTCCGAGACAGCGGCGGCCGCCAACGCGATTGCTAAACGACATCTCTTCGTGGCACACATCGATCGCAGTAACCCGCTCGGACAAGTGAAGCGGGAGGGGTTGAAGGCAGTGGAAACAAAGCTGGAAGAAATCATATTCGCAAAAACCGACACAGAGCCGATTGCACCCATGCCTATAAATATTTTTTTAACTTAATTTAATTTAATGTTTTAAAAATAAAAATATATATATATTTTTTTTATTTAAATTAATTTCTGGAAACTTACTTTTTTCTCCTTTTGATATAATTTTTGTTTGATTTTTAAAGAAGGACATATTTTTTTAATGTCTTTTAATTTTTAGAAACTAATTTTATTATTTCTCACACTCTATAAATCAAGTCATCATGCCTGTGCTGGTGTATGGTGCGGAGGTATAGACAATGAAAACATCTGATGAAGCGGCGCTTGGAGTTTGCGATGGCGTATACCGCAGACGATTTAAGAATGAGCTGTATGAGCTTTACAACATTATAGACATAGTGCAGCGATTTAAAATTCAGCGGCTTCGCTGGCTTGGCCATGTCGTTCGAATGGACAGAAACGCTCCTGATCTGAAATTATTCAACGTGGGCCGCGATGGTGGTAACAGAGGAAGAGGAAGGCCTCCTCTGCGCTGGAAATACCAGGTAGAGAAGGGCTTGGCTTCACTTGGCATTTCCAGTTGGGCTCAGTTGGCAAGAGAAATGACTGGCGTGCTGTTTTGGACTCGGTCAAAATCGCTTAGGCGGTTACAGCGCCAATAAAGAAGAAAAAGAAATAAGATAATCTGATAAATTCATCTATTGTTCGAATTTCCCCTAAAATGATTTTATTTAGCTTTATACTTACTCATGGCATACATACATACATTTGTATGTACTCACGTCTGTATTTATTTAGCTGTAACCTTAGAAAATTTTAATAATTGTGTAGGTGATAAATATACAAATTTCGGGGTTTAAATATTAATTTCTACTTAGTAAGTATAGATAGTTTGATGAGGAATTAGAACCCATCATTCTCAAACCTAATTAATGAGAATGTCTTCCGAGCACAAAGCTTCTACTCTCGGAACCATAGCAGTAGGAAGAACATCGACATCATCAACACGAAATTGGTCTGCTGAGTCTTATCGACAGCAGACTTGCTAAATATACTTTTTTTCTTGGACAACCAAGATGAGTCTTCCGTTGGCTGAGCAGGCGGTATGATTGGAGTTGGAGTTGGAAAGGCGAGCTGACCAGGTTGAATAGGTGTGCCACCAATTGCCGCCGCAGGATGGGCAGCTGGTGCATGCCACGCAGGTGCTACACCTGGCTGAGCAGGCACTTGCACATGTGATGAAACGTCTCTTACTACCGGTTGCTGCTGTGAAACTATCGGAGCTGGTAGCTAAATAAAAAAAAAAATAATGAAACTTATTAAAAACAATAAACTAAATAGTTGACTTACTTCAGCTTGTGCCGCAGAAGCTGGCGCTGTTTGACCAGCAGAATATTGGGCCGGCTGTTGTGGTGGGTACTGTTGTTGTGATGGTGCATGCGGTTGGTCGACAGATGTTTTAATATTTAAGAAAGAATCTTGAATACCACTCGATTGTGGATTTTGGGTATCTTTCGGTGGCTGCTGTTCTTCATTAGAATTATGTGGGTGAAGCTTTTCAATAATCGTGCGTAATAGTGATCGCTCTGCTGGTTGCTGTGTGGGCTGAGATTGGTGGTGCGCAGACTCTGAAACATTTTCAATGGCGGGATGTGCCGGTTGAGAATGTTCAGGCTGAGATGGTTTTTGCGCGGCTGCTTGCGAAGGCTGTGGCTGTGCGGATTCAGGAAGATGTGCCAGCGGAGGATATAAGAATTGAGTTTGACCGGGTTGAGCAGTATGATGTCCAGCTGATTGTTCATCATGAGAATTGTCAGGTTGAAGTGATGGATATGTAGCTGGTTGCACAGGCGCAGGCGCAGGCGCTGGAAGATGTGGAATGACAGGCTGTTGGAAATAAGGAGAATACTGACCGGCTGATTGTGCAGGCTGAGCAGAAGGTTGTACCAGGCTAGGATCCCAACCGTATGGATGTTGCTCTACGGCTGGTTGTTGAACGGGCGCTGGAAGTTGCGGTGCGGCAGGCAGTGGGAATTGTGATTGCACAGGTTGTCCATGTTGAACAGAAGATTGATCGACTGGATATGAATAGCTAGGCTGCCAAGCTTGCGCCGGTTGCTGTTGCTGTTGTATGGCAGGATATGAGAATTGCGTTTGCATAGGTTGAAGAGGTGGTTGGTTAATAAATTGTGGCACCGGCGGTGGAGGTGGGGGTGGGTTGGCTGGATGCTGTTGCTGAGCGATGGGCTGTTGCTGCTGTTGCATTTGTTTAGTCATGATATGTCCTAAGAGTCCGCCTCCTACAACGCCCGTCAATGCGCCAGCTGTTGAAGAATAAAATAAAGTGAAATTAAATTAAATTAATTAAAATAAACCAAATTAATTTAATTACAAAAAAAAAACAAAAATTATTAGTTGAATATTTATATAGAATCTACAGGTCCAGAAGTAAATGTGGCCATTATTTTAAAATTTCGTCACAAAATTGAGGCATCTGGAAACCATATTTTAGCTCTGATTGCCATATTTAATGCGTTTTTTTCATATAAAACGTGAAGGTACTTCGAAGAGGGACCTCAGAAATACTAATCGGGAAAAATGTAGGCAATTAATTGTTGGTTATTAACTTATCTGCCTTATCCAATAAACATAGAACAGTTGGCTGTTGGAATTAGAATTTAAGGCTTATAGACGTACGAGCTTAATGATGGACATCTTAAATTATAGGTGGCCCGAGAACAAGCCGAAGGGGAAGATCAAAACAGTGTTGTGGTGCCGGGGCTCTACAGCTACGCGGCAACAGCAGCGCAAGCTGTTTACTAATATCAAGCATACCTAAGCTAGGAAGAAATACGAAATACATCAAGGAGATTACAAAGGCCAAGAAAGAATGTATCAGAACTAGGGATGTTAATCCCGGGATCCCGGACTTTTTTAAGTCCCGAAAATTCCAGGATTCTTGGCAACTTTTCGGGATTTGTAATTTGCAATGGGAGAAAATTCCCAGCATCGTTTAAAAAATTCCTAAATTTAAATACTGTATTTTGTTTTGTTACTAATGAAATATTTTTCAACTTAAATAATAAAATATGGTGGGAGAGCTTCTCAAACTATATTGATGCAATTTTTCCATGTTAAGGTGCTGGAAAATAATGAATATCTAAATCCCGGGACTAATCACGGGATTCTGGGATTGTATGAACGATGTGCCGAAAATCCCGGGATCGCAAAAATCGAAAAAATTAACATCCCTAATCAGAACCTTCTGTGCATATATATCCAATACTCCATAGCGGCGAGTTTTAGACTGTAGTCAGAGGAACAGTGGGGTCGATCTTAGCGCTTAAGCTATAAAATGGTACCTTTTTAGGTTGAAAAGAGTAGAGGGCAATTGCAATGCTTAACTCGCTCAGTAGGCCTGCGCCAGGCATAGAGTCTTCTGTAGGGCGTAACATGAAGAGAATAAAAAATCTATGTAATCAGTCTGACAAAAGGTAAACTTAGGACAGCCGTTTTCACCATCCCTGGTTAACACTAATCCCCAGTTAAACAACGTTACCGACGACACTGACTCCACGTATATGAAATTGTGTTGGTAACGATGTTTAACTGGGGATTAGTGTTAACCAGAGATGGTAAAAACGGCTCTTAGCGGCGGTTAGTCAATGTCAGGTTAACACTAACTGCAGGTTAAACATCGTTATTGACGTTACCGACTCCCTGTTGTATGCCTGGAGTCGAAGATGTCGATAACGATGTTTAACCGCAGATTAGTGTTAACCAGACATTGAGTAACCGGCCCTTAGAATGCTAAGGCGTATTCTTATAGGACTCTGCAGATCCGAATATCCAATCACTAATTATCAGGGACCGAGAACAAAAGGTATGGTCGAAACTACGGGCCGGTTTCTCAAATCCTGGTTGACACCAATCTCCGGTTAAACATCGTTATCGACGTTACCTACACCGTGTTATATGCATGGAGTCAAAAACGTTTATAACGATGTTAACTGATGATTAGTGTCAACCAGGCTTTCAGCAACCGGCCCTAAATGTCGTTTTCGTAGTTTTGTTCCCGAAACCGCTTCAAAACCAAAAAGAAAATGAGAGCAAAGCTGTCGAGAATGTTTCCAATGGGATTTATATAAAAACAAAACCCGGTGGAACTTTTCCAAAGAGAACAAATTGCGTTCAATACTTTCAGGCACATTTTTACTAGAAAAAATTTTAAGTAAGTCTCCAGAACGTTTTGGTAAATAAAACTAAACGGGAACAAAAGTATAATGAACTTTCTCTCGAATAACAATTTGGGAACTAAAGTCTCAGGGAATTTCTTACAAAGAACGAAACGGAAACAAATCTTCTGTTTGAAATATGTATTTGAATATGGAAATTAATCGAAAAAGAACTGAAAGATAATTATGAAAATTAAGTTAACGAAAGACTCAAGACAAGCACTTTTCTTGCACAGGAACTAAAAATGATAAGACGGTCTGGAAGTTGAATTGATCCTGATTTTCCTGACTTAGAATTAACAATCGTGGTTCTCACTGAAACGCCCTTTATCTTTATGGGACTCTGTACGTTTTGTTGTCAAAATATTTTTTCCCTAGCAGAACGTTCCCCAGACTTTTGGTTTTATTTGATCCTCCTCGAAAATGTTTTGGGTACTTTTGTTCTCATTGGAAACGTTCCCAAATGTTTCGTTCTCGTTCTATTCTTCTTGAGAGCTTTGTTCTCATTTTGTTCTCGTTCAAATAGCTCTCAAAACTTTTGCTCCCGTTTGGTGCTTTTGTGGAAATGTTCTTGATATTGCAATTTGTTCTGATGCAGAACTTAACCAAAACTGGAACGCGTTCTGGGTCCCTGCAAATTTTTTTTTTAACATGCAAAATACTGACGCTAGAAAAAAATCGCAAACAAGAACTTAAGTATTCCTGAGTTTTATCGAAGAAATGAACGATGTAAACTGCGAAAAACGTATACAGCCTTCTCTGCAAGATNGAACTTAAGTATTCCTGAGTTTTATCGAAAAAATGAACGATGTAAACTGCGAAAAACGTATACAGCCTTCTCTGCAAGATGGGTGCGATTCCACAACCCCCTGAGATCCGAAAATCTATATCTCTTTAAAAACTACGCTGAAAATTGCACAACACTTAAACTGGTTTAACTCCACTCCAAATCACTTACAAATTTGCATTAATTTAACCTTTCTCGAATTAAAAAATCTATCTAAAACAACGGCTATGTGAAGTAACTACTTTCATATGCAATTTAGATTTTTTCAACTCACCCAAAAATGCTGTCTTGCCTCCTGATTTCTTAGCGTCTGCTGCTTGTGGCACAAACGTTTGCAGCAGCAGCAAAACGGCACACAAACGGCCAAAATTTGCGTATTTCACTAGCATACTGCTTTTTTGTTGTACAATTTTAAGAAATATTTAGAAAGGTATAAATATTTTGTATTGCGATTTCGATGTCGATTCAAGCCACTTTGAAAAATTCCCGCGAGCGATAATAACACCTCGGCTTTGTGCCTTAAACTGTCAAATTTTTTGACATTGGCTTAATTATTCGCATTCAAAGTCAGCCACCTCAAAGGTGTATTTTTTAACATATCATGGTATAAGCTGTGGAATGTTTAAAACACAGCCTTACCGCCAGTTTGAATGACAGATACAAATTTCGTGCAAATTTTTACTGAATATTGTCTGATTTCATCTTAGGTTGTGCGTAGCGTGTAGCAGTTTAACCAAATATTTACATTATTTGAATTTGTACAGTTGTTTTTTATAACTTGCTTTGTGCTTGCGGGCAATGTAGTAAGTAGCAAAAATAAGATCGCATTTTGTAGATAATATTCCATGAAATTTTTTATGTATCACAAATTAACATACAATTTTTTTATGTACGTAAGTATATACGTATACCTATGTACTATTTGGGTCTGTGCCGCTTTGCTGAATGTATTAAATTTCTGCAATTTATTTCAATAAAATTCTACATACTTAAACTCAGCCAAAAACATAGAAGATTTTCTTCTTAAGCTTTTTTCGTTTAATCCGAATTCTATCCATATACGAGAATATTCAAACGGATATCCAAATGTATGGATAGTCTCAGCCATAATGTATGTAGAGTGGCGGACAAAAGTATTGGCACAGTAAATTTTTCGCAATATCAGCAAAGTTTTTTTTCTGCGTAATTTATTTTCGATAATCTTATATAAAAGTTTATTTCTTTCTACACCAAAAAAAAAAACAAAAAAAAATCTCGAAACTTTGTACAAAACTCAGGAAATTTTAATAAATTCGCATAATAATTTGCAACTTTATATTCAGATTTTTTAGAAAAATTGTAAGTAGTTTTATAGTCCATTAAATTTTAGTATAACAAAGTCCCACTTTGAGGTTGCTAGCAAATCGCGTTGATCTGGATATTGGGGTCAACTTGTCAAATAACGTTAAATTACAGGCATCTAACCCTAATTTATTTTTCATGCTAATAAAGGTTCGAGTATTTCTTATGAAGTGTGAGGTAAAGTGTTTTGTGATATAATATTACTTTTCATTTTGAGAATTCGGTGCAAGGTCTAATAAAACAATTGCATATACTATTAAAAAAAAAACACAAGATGTAAAGTTATACCTTGGGTTTATTAATGCAATATGTACATATAAATACTTATTTCCTGCTTACAATGTTGGTAAAATGAAGGATGTAATTAAGTAACTTAACAACTTATTCAAAATTTTTATTGTAATAATTTAAATTGCAAATTCAATTCCTTTTGCGAATCTTTCTATTATCCTTTCAGTGTCAATTTCAATATCTAAGTGTACGTAAAAGTGCTAGACCTATCAGTCATTCTTCATTCATGGTACTACGCAACCATGTTTTTAACCGGCGAAGTGTTGAAAAACTTCTTTCGGAAGTAGCGTTACAAGCTGGAAGTGTGACCAGAATGCGGAGAAGTTTGTTTATCAATGGAAAATCATATTCGTCGCATTTACCAAGAACTTCTACTGCTGATTTTGGGAATGGCTTTTCGCTTTCCTTATTTGTCCATCCTTCCAACCACACTTTATACTCTCCTTCCAAATTGATACCGTCTTTTTCTAAGAAAAGTTCGTATCGTTTTCCAAGCGATTTTACGCGTTCGATAACATTATTTTTTTGTCAGGCGTATTACATTCCCCAATTTTAGATGGAAGTAATAAGTTTAAATCAAAAATGTTGAATGTCTTTTTCGGCAATCTTTCTCGGATATCGAGCAAAATATTATCCAATAGCGGTATAAATATTGCCTTTGAAAATAATCTTCAGCGTTAGACGATAATTAGACCGGAAATTTTGTCTATTCGCTCTCCGAGATCGGCAACTTTTGAAAATACATATATCAGAAAAATGTGTGTCAGAATTTTCTCTTTCATTTCGAAGAATATTCACAGTGCCATTGACTGCTTCGCTAGCACGATACAAGTCAAGCGAGGGCGCTTGGAGAAGTAAACTTTTAATTTTTTAATTAAACTTTTAATTTTTTAATTTAACTTTTTAATTTTTATTTTATTTTTCAAGTCATTAATATTTTTATGCGCATACAAATGTCTGGGTACACAATTGAAAGTGAAATTTCCTACATACGTGCACCGCGGAAATAGACAAAAAGTAGTATCAGAAAGTTCGATTTGACATACATACATACATACTTTCATTCAGCCCAATTCTGAATACTCCCAGGAAGATTGTTCCCCGGGAATTTGTTTCTCCCGAGAAAGAAATCCTCCAATAATTAACTCCCAGGAAGTAGAATTTTCCCCGAAAATTTGGAAGGAGAAAATTCAAGTTTTGCAAGAGCTGTTTGATACTTTTTTGACAGCTCAACTCCGCCATTTAACATAAAAAACCGCAGCGAGAGAAAACTCCCATATAGTGAACAACCTGGATGCTGTGAACAGGCCATGCAAAAATTAGTTCACTATATCCAGACACGACTGTAATATTTAAAAAAATCAAAAAATTTAACTTTAACCTTTGATATCTTCCTAACTTTTTACTTTAGCCAAATAATTTTTGAAATCAAAACAAAAAGTTCTATCGAGCCACATTTTGGTTTTTGCATAAGTTAAACTTGAACCTTTTTTACTGGCTTTAGTTTTTTTTCGCCAAATAATCTTCAGTTGGTTGAATTAGCATGAAAAGTTCTATTTAGCTACATATTTTTTATTTCTTTATGGCTAAACGGTTGGTATTCTATAATACGGCTACTTCGGACTATTTCTGTCTAAATGCTGGAATACGGGAACAGGCTAAATGTGAATAAGAAAAAGTAAACAAACAAATGTCAAATTAAACTCTGAGTTTATTAAACACCCCAATGAGTACACTTGACAGTTGTACATAAACTTAAAACGTTAAACCAAAAGTCTTCACTTATCAGATGTATGCTAAGTTACATTTAACCCAGTAAAGTCTTAATTATCCCGGAAACTGAGTGAGCACCTTAAATAATTTTAACGGCCCTAAAAAGCTCACCTAATTCCTCAGAAATATTTATCCGTCTTTTACCAAAGTTTATAAAGTTGGTCGATTTTTAAATAGTTTACTGGGCAATATTTTTAGCGATTTTTTAATGATCAACGGGCAATATTTGCAAAGCACATAAAAAGCCCAAAATAATAAACCCAGATAAGCAGTAAAAAGTGTTCACTGGATGGATGTATTGCTAAGTTACAGTTAACCCAGCAAAGTCTTATTTATCTCGGAAACTGTAAGAGCTCCTATAATTATTTTGGTGATTCTACAAAGCCCAAAAATAGCACGTAATTCCCCAATAATATTTATCCGTGTTCGACCAAAGTTTAAGAAGTGGGTCAGATAGCGTGACGTCAAGCGGTTTTTGAATGTTTACGGGGCAAAATTTTGAAAGCACATAAAAAGCCCAAAAAAATAAGCCCAGACAAGTAGTAAAAAAGACTTCATTGAATGAATGTTTTTTGTTTTTTACGGTTAACTTAGCAAAGTCTTAATTATTTACCAAATGGTCGGAGCACAAAAAAAACGAAAAGTGGCCGAAAATAGCACACAAGGAGCACAATAATACGAGCAAATTGTTTCTTCATTTTTTCATTTCAGCGCCGCTAACTTGATTGAGCAACCAGCTTATGAGATAGTAACAAAATTTAACGGTTACAAGAGTGCATAGAATATGAAAAGTTTTTAAAAATTGACAGGAAATTTATTTATGTATTTTGGAAAAAACAACAACCAAACAAGGAAAAATTTATTTACCGTTTAAAAATTTTTTCAAAAAAGTTTTTTTGTTACCAGCACAGAATAGACCTGTTAGCAGCTTCAAAAAGTATTGAGCTTCATTCCTTTGCCCAAATGGAATTTCAAAGACCATTTTCGCAGCACAATAGCGTTTCAGTATAAAATTTCATAAAATCCCATAAAATCAGTAGTTCAGCTACAGCAGTGTTTTCTTAACTTCTAAAATTTTGATTTTTAAATTCTATTTTTCTGTTGTCTTTTTCGCTGCCTTTTGCTTTGGGAAGGAAACAAGTTTATAACAACAAAGCCACTTACCACCTGTATGTTTTTACACATTGCCATTTCCACACGCTCGTTAAGGTTTTGTTTTTACAAAGTTCTAATGCAATGTTGTGTACCAAAGTGAAAAGCGAAAAGCGCTCTAGGTAAAAGGTGGTAATGTAGTATTTGCATCGCTTGCGCAAACAAATGAATTCAAAAAATGGTAGCAGTAATTCCAGCTCCTCACCAACAATGAAAAACGCGCCATGTATGTATGTATTTATAATAACTAACAATTTATGTAATTGTTGTTGTTGTTGCATTGCTAGTAACCTTTATCGCTGATACGCATGTTGCACCACAATGACCTCGGCGTAGGTGTGTAACTAAATATACGAAGCTTCCGGAGCAGCAGCAGCTACATCCATACGTAACAGTGATTACAAAAATGGTTAACAGGAAAAAAGATTACTTGCCAGGTCAAAACAAAAAGCACAACAAAAAAGCACAAAAATCACTAAGTTGCTTTCCACGAGCTGTTGTAACAAAAAAACATATCAACATGCAAAAGATTCGAAACCTACGAAGGCAGCGGCTGAAATAGAAATTCAAAGCAAAAATATGTAATACGAGGGTGGTCCAAGAAGTACCCGACCTAACAAAGAAAACACAAAAATTTTGAGAAAAAATATATTTATTTTTCAACATAATCTCCTTTCAGCTCTATACACTTTTCCCAGCGATGTTCAATAAGTTCGATACCCCTTTTATAATAAGAACTGTCTTGCTCCTCAAAATAACAATCAACTGCAGAGGTCATTTCTTCATCGTTAGAAAATCTTTGACCACGGAGCCATTTTTTGAAGTTGGGGAAGAAAAAAAGTGCGAGGGGGCTAAATCTGGCGAAAAGGGTGCATGAGGCAGCAATTCAAACATTAATTCATTAATTCGCTAAACACTCAATTGAAACCTCTTCACGACACTGTTTCTGATCGAGTGTGAGCAAATGCGGCACCCATCTTGGACACAGCTTTCTCATTTCCAAATCTTCAGATAATATACGGTGTACCATACTTTTTGAAATGCCTACTATATCTGCTAGCTCGCGCACTTTCAGTCGACGATCATTCATTACCGGTTTGTGGATTTTCTTCACCATTTCTGGAGTCGTCACCTCAATTGGTCGACCACTGCAATACTCGTCTTGGCAGCTCGTACGGCCTCGTTTAGACTCTAATACCCAATATTTTACTGTTGTAAACGAAGCCCAA